CAGTGCGTCGGTGCGCGCCTGGGATCCAAACGGCGAACCTCGGGCTGTCGCAGTGGAGCATGCACACTTAACTGCTTGCGCCACCGGCCCGGCCCCCTCAGTTTCTTTTTAAAATAGACTCCTAGGAATATCAGTTAGGAATTCCTTTGGTTGTAGGTAACAGAACTCAACTAACGTTACCTTAAACAAATAGAGGTTTGTTTTCCTTATGTAACTGGATGGGCTCGTCTATTGAATGATGCCCCCAGACAACCAAGTTGTTTGCATCTCTTCACCTGCATCTTGGCTCTTGCTGCCTCATAGTTACAGGATGGCTCCAATAGTTCCAGACATCATATCTACAGTCAAAGCATGAATAAGGGGGGAAAGAGCAGTATCAGTATGTCTATCCCTTTTAATTAGGAAAGCAAAAGCATGTCAAAGAATTCACTCATGCCTGTTGAGTAAGCCTATGTCCCATGTCTCCCCCAACCCCAAATTGCATGAAAGATTATAAAAGTTTTGTTTTAAGCATTCCCAGTCTTTTTATAGAAGGAAGGAATGTGGAAGGGGAAACCTATGATGAATGAGCAATCCTGCAAGTCGGCCACGCTCTATATTGCTGACTGTTCTCCTGAGACACCTGCTACCTATTTTTCCTCACTAGATTATGCATCACTTTAAAAAATAGGTGATGTGTTTTTTGAAACGTTAGAAATTTAGCTTTAGCCTTTGAAAGAGTAAAATATAAATTAGTGAGCTCTCAATTGCTAAAATCAAAAGTAGTTCCTGTAACTTTTTGATTTTCTAATAATATATGATAAGTTCAGCCTCCACCTTCTTATTTTGGAGAGAGAACCACTTTTAGTAGGATTTCCTTAGAGAAGTTTTCCTGGGCATATCCAATCAAATATGTATGCATATTAAAACAGAGAGATCTCATTGAATGTACTGTTCTGCAACTTGATGTTTTTGATCAGCCATATAGCTTGCACAGCTTTCCGTATTAGCTTGTGTAGATCTTTTTCATTGTCTTTAATGGTTACGTAGTAATCCATTGTATGGCTCTATCCTGTCTTATTTAGCCAGTTTCCTGTTAATGGACATTTAGATAATTTCCTAATGTATATTAAGGAGTCTTAGTCAATAAGAGTAGGTAAGAGGTCTAAAAAGCTATTTTATAATCACACTCTTGATGCCATTTTATCAATTCTCAGCATTTTTTGTTTTGCTGAGCAAGATGGGCCCTGAGCTAGCGTCTGTTGCCAATCTTCCTCTGTTTTGTGTGTGAGCCACCTTCATGGCCACTGATAGACAAGTGGTGTAGGTCTGCACTTGGGAACTGAACCCTGGCCGCCAAAGCAGAGTGTGCCGAACTTAACCACTAGGCCACAGGGGCTGACCCCCACCATTTCTGATATTACATTATTAAAATAAACTAAATGTAGCGTCAAAAGCTACCACAGTCCAGATTTTCAGTTATATAATAGTCATTCAGTTGGTTGACACATATTTATTCAGGACCTGCCATGTGCCAGGCGTCAGTTTTCATGCTGCGGATAAGTGGTAAACAAGATTGCATTCTCACATTTAAGGAACTTAAGTTATCTTCTACTGGGAGAAGATTGACAGTAAACCTGTACTTTACTACGCAAGTGAATTTCAGATATTGATAGGTTCTGTGGAGAAGATAAAATAGGAAGATGTGGAGAGTGACAGGGTTGCTTCTAGGGAAGGCCTTGCTGAGTTGGTGACATTGGCGTCAAAATGTGAAGGCTGAGAAGGAGGTGGACATCTCAAGATATGGGGAGAACAATCCAAGTGGAAAGAAGGGCAGCTGCAACGGTCGGTAGTGAGATGGGAGCAGGCGTGTTGTGTTTGAGGGACAGAAAGCAGACCAGTGTAGCCAGAGGGCAATGCTGAAGGGGAGGGTGGAAGGAGGTGAGTCAGAGAGGGGGGTGGGCCTGCTTATGAGGGATCTGGTAAGGTATTTGCATTTTGCTCTAAGTGTAATGGAAACAGTGGAGGTCTTTAAGAAGAGGAGTGAGGTGATTTGGTCTGTACTTTAGAAAGATTGCTCTGGGTGCTGGGTGGAGGGTGGGCTGTTGGGCAAAGGTGGAGGAAGGGAGAAGAGTTAAGAGGCTAGTCGTGACTCTGACTAGGGGTGTAGTGGTAGAATGGTCCAAGATGGTTGAATTCAGGTCTGTTTTGGAGGTAGAATTGTTTCGGACTTACTGAGCAATTCATTTTGGGGTATGAGGGAAAGAAGAGTTAAGGATGACTCGTGGGATTTTGATGTGAGCAACTCGGGGGATGGTGGCACCTTTTCCTGGGAGGGCATGTGGAGGGAGCAGGGCTTTGGGGGAATGAAGGGGATTTGGAATCAGTAGTTGTGTTTTGTCAAGTCAGTAGTTGATGATGTTGGTCTGAAGCTCAGAGGAAAGCTCAGAGCTAAAGATAATAACCGTAGCCTCATCAGCATGTACTTGCCACGTGAAGCCACACGCCGGGTGAGATCACCTAGGAGGAGTGTGTAGGTGGAGAAGAGAGGGGTTCTGTGCAGAAGGAGGAGCCAAGGAAGTGAAAGAAAATCCAGGGGCTTGTGATCTCAGGGAAGCTGAGAGAAGACTACTTCAAGGAGTGAGCCATCAGCCAGGTCAGATGCTGCTGAGAGGTCGAGTAAGAGGAGGACCGAGAGTTGGCCATTGGCTTGAGGAGGACGTAGGACATCATTGGTGACCTTGAGCAAAGCTATTTTAATGTCATGGCAGAGGGGAAGTGGGTTGAGGCGGGGTAAGGGGTCAGAGAGGAAACAATTTTACTGTGAAGAGTAATAGAAATAAGAGAGGGACATTTCGTGATACTAAGGTGTGTTTGTTTGCTGATGACAGTGATCCATTATTGAGGGAGAAATTGATAATGCAAGAGCAAAAAGGGATAATTATTGGAGGAAATACTTGCAAAGACAATGCGGGCTAGGGCCAGGGCAAAGGGAAGGGTTCAGCCTTAGAAAAGGAGCAGGGATGCATCTTTCCTGGTAGTGGAGGAGGGCAGAGTGTGGGGACAGACAGTGATAGGTGGGTGAAATTGGTGGTGAGAAGAGGGAGGTTCTCTGGTTACTTCAGCTTCCTCTCTGAAGTGTGTGAGAGGAAGGTCACCAGTCCCGGGCTTGTGGGAGATGTGAGGAGAGAGGAGCAGAATGATACTCATCTCAGAGTGAGGGGAAGGGAGTTGACCAGCAGAGTGTGGTAGGATCGGATTGCAGGTGCATTTGATGTTTGGTCGTAAATTTGAAGTGAGTACAGTGAGCGCAGTTGCCTGACTTCTCTGGCCACCTGCCGCTACTTGGGTGAGGTTCAGAGTAAGCAGATATTTGGGTTTGCTAGGATTAGGGTTTTGCCAGGTGAGTAAGACAGGAAGAGAAAGACAAGGGAGCTGAGGGGAGGTGATGGAGGGTGAAAAAAGCGAGAGGTCAGTGGTAGGATGAGGTCGGAGAATTCCAGGAGAGAAGAGTGAGCCGAAGGTTGGGGTGAGAGGCGCGAGGTGGGGTCGCTGAGGCAGCGCAGGGCATTGGTGTGTCATAGGATCCGGTGTGGGGTGTTACATTCTGCTAAATAAATACTCTGTGTGCTTAAAAAGCAATTTAAAAAATTATACAATAATAGTGCCTCATAGAGAAACCTTAGAAAATAGGGTATTTTTGTTTGTTATTGATTTATAATTATGATACTTAAGGATATGAACCTTTATCATTGCTAATATTTTTTTTCCAGTTTGACATTTGCCTTTTATTTTTGCTTATGCTTTGGATTCGGGGGTGGTGGTGTGGAGAGCATGTTTTTAAAATATGTCGGCCAGTCTTTTAAGATAAATTATTATTTAGGTAATTACATTTATTTTCTTTTTGTTTTTAAATGGTTTTGTTTTTCATTTGACTTCAGTTTAGAAGAATACAGCATAGAAAAGGATTGAACTTTTTTCTTAAATAATCTTTTTTGCCTGTACCGTATATTGAATAATGTACCCTTTTGTTGTTGGTTTGGTGTTTTTATTATATGCTATTATTTGACATTTTTTATCATATGACCAATATTTGTTTTCTGGGCTTTCTGACATCTCTTATGTTAACTTATTTATCTACCATATTTCACTGATTTCAAGTCATATATTTTCCACTTTTTAGCATCTTTAAATTTGGAGTGCACCTTAAAATCACCTGTTGCCTGGATGGAAGTTGAGTTCTTCCCAAGGTGATTTGTATTTTCTTCTGCCAGTCACTAGGGGGCACTACCAACCTGCGTCTGCTTCAGCTAGTTTCTCTGCTTGAGATTTTCCTGGACTGCACTGGTAGTGCGAATTCAGACCACGAAATTTGTGGGTCTCTTCCCACTGTCAAGGAAGAGGTGTGCCAACTTCTTTGCCGTCGCTTCTGTGAGAAGGGTTATTTTATTTACCCCTCACTGAGGCTGTAGCCGTTCAGTGACCTCACTTTTTGTGAGTCTGTCTCCTTTTAGACTCCCTATCCTGGGCATCTTTTCTTTGCATGGTCCATAAAATAATGGTGTGCCTTGCAGTTGATGGTGTATTAGAGTCAGTGAAATATGGTATTTTATTAATTGTCACTTTATAGTTTTTACTGTCTGACAGTGCAAGTTTTTAAGTATAGCATAGTCTTGGCTATTATTCCAAATGAATTTTGAAATGATTTAATTTCCCCTGACATACTCTCTCCATAAAATAAGCAAAACCCAAACAATGTAGTCCCAGGATTTTAGCATCACCTAATATGAAAAACTAAGAACCTTTCATTTCAGACATAATTTGTTCAGTGTTCATTGTTATATTTCTTCTTATACTTGGTTGTAAAACTTAGTCAAGAATTTAAGTTCCTAATACTGTACTAATATGATAAAATAATTAATTTGAAATATTAACAGTTCTATACGTGATTCATTCAAGCATAGATCAGTTTTGCTGGATAATTCTTTTATGTGTATCTCCTTTAGTCCTTTTTAGAATTGTTCTTTAAAAAGCCTCAGATTAACCTGACAAAAATTTGGTCTTTTGCTTTCTGTGCTCGTTTTCTTATGAAGATTATCATGCTAGTCAGTCTCCGTGGCTGCTCCCTGCTGCACTTGTCCCTCCGGAGGCCTGTCTGAGGCCTGGGGACTTGTGCTCACGGGGTGTGTTCTGCGGAGGTGGTTTACAGGGTTTGTTTAGTAAAGTTGAGCACTTCACAGTGTGTTGTTTTACTTCAGAAAAAAATAACAATGCATTATTATATTATTGCTGTAAGTTTGTGAAGTTCACCAAGGATTCTTTTTTTCTTTTAAAGACTTGCTTGTCTTTCCAGAAAGTTGCAGTATAAATTACATTGCTGAGAAGATCCCCAGAGGACATTCCCAGCTTGCTCCTGTGATGGGTCACAGAGTATTGATTCATCGACAGTTGCTGAGATGTAATTCTCAGATGTAGGGATTCATTTGAAAGAAAACATACTGAACAAAAAGACAATGAAAAAATCAGTACTACATTTGGACAGTATAGATGAGAAATGTAATCACAAGAATTATGCAATTAAAAATTCCTCAGATCAGTTTAGTTTTATAGTTGTCAAAGTAATGTGTGATATCAATGAAGAAATATTTGTAGCATGCAGACAGTTGTTCTGTTTCTTAAAAAATTATTGTCAGTGGGCTATTAAACTTGCATATTTTTTTAATTGATGTAGTATGTTCTTTTATTCAAGTATGGACTTCTTGAGAAACTATAGTAATATGACTTTTAAAAAATTTATGTTCTACTTTAAATGTAAATTGTAGTTCTGACTGCGTTAATGCGGGATCATTTGTATTTGTTAAGAGGAAGTAACCACGAGCACTTGTTCCAAGTTGAATCTGAGGTTGTTATGAAGCCTTTCAAGCTGTAGCTGAGAGCGTAGTTGTGGAAGAGAGTGAAAGGCTCCTTCCTGCGCAGCAGCCCTAGGAAGCATTCTCCCAGCACGTCCATTTCTACCAGGAGAGGGGAGCAAATGAGCGCTTTTCCGGTTTGTCATCTAAGGTAACTGTGCAGTCGCCTCATTGCTGAAGTTCCAATGAATGTGAGAACCAAAGTAGAGTTGTTCTTTTTGCTTTGTATTAATTTTACTTATACCAAAGTGTTTGAAAGTATGAAATGTATTGCTTCTAGACTATAAATCTACTTCATGAAAAGACTGTTCTGTAATATTTCACTTTGTTTTACTATAACTTCAGATTATCTTAAATATTTTCCTAATACTACATAGGAATGCTGAATTTTCTTTTGTTATGCAGTAGAAACATTTTACACTGTTTACATAGTTCTCATGGAACATAGAATTTTTTGAAAGCAACTTATGATACACATTTTTTGTGTATATATTCTAATTAGTGTGAATAAAACTGTAACATCAATGCATTTTTTTAAGCAGCCAACTTCTGTTTTTCTTGTCTTCTTTAAAAGTCTTCCTATGAGTTCAGCGTTTCTTTACTTTTCATTGTGAGTACCTGCTATATATAGTTAATATATAACATTTGCTCCTAATTATAGAATCAGGACAGTAGAGTTTTAGGGCTCCAGTTGACCCCAGATAACATGTCTTCCAGCCACCTCATTCTGTAGCTGAGGACATGACACTAAATGCCGTTCTCAGACGATCTGGGCTGGAGTACAGGTTCACTGACTCCCTTTCGGCCATCGTTTCTCTACACCAGTACTACTACTTTTCACCTAATTTCCCCGTAACTTCCCCAAACTGATAAGATAAAGAAAAATGAGGATTATTTATGTATATTTTAATAAAATCCAGTTTGATTTTTTAATTTATAACTGGTTTTGTCTGCATTATTCAGCCTACGTCTTCTGAGCATTGGGCCGAGGAGAAGGCATACTTGAACCAATGTCCATGGAAGAAACGTGTACCGGCTGAGTTTCAGAAATCTTGGATTTTATTTTAACTCTTGAGGAAACATAAATTAGAGTTTTTGGTGACTCTGCCTGTGGACATATATTTACATCACCCTTCAATTTCTTTAAAAAAAACAAAAACAAAAAAATAGTAGGTCTTCTGAGGGCAGAGTCTGCATTTATTAGCAAGCTGTTCACTATTGTAAACACCATGCCCAGCACAGAGTCTTGTCATGTAGTAAGGCACTTTCCAAGTGTTTGTTGAATAAAAGAATTTTAAAAATCAAAAACATTATTTAACACTTGGAAGAGACCTTGGAAGACCATCCAGATCAGTGGTTTGCAAACTTTTAAAAAGCAGAACCCTTTTTCAAATGAAAACTGTCTCCAAATTTCAGTCCATAAACCAGATGAGAGTATAGCTGCTGAGTAAACCTTGACCTCCTTCTTTTCCCTGGGAACAGCTCATCCCCTCCTGGAAATCTCCTACCCTAGCCCCTGATCTGGATTAATGCCCTCCTTTTCCCCAGATGATGCAAGTCAAGTCGCTAGTTATTCTGAAAGGGTTTCGTATGCAGAGTTTGGGACAAAAATTAAAAAGCATCAGTGTCTGAAATTGAAGGTCAGAGAGTCATCATAAACCTGATGATGATTACCTACGCCTGGTTTGTTAATGTGGTATATAACAAGAGGAAGCTATTTCCAAGTTAGACAGACCTGTGTGTTTCTTGAACCCATCAGATAAGGGTGTTTTCTCAAATCCAGAGTGTGATTATAATAAAAGGAAACTACACAGATTATATTGATTTTTGAGGTAAGTATGTTATTGGAAAGGAGTGATCTACATAGAGCTTGAAAATGAGGAAGTTGGAGAGTAGATAGCACTATCCTGTCAGGGATGATCATCTATTGGAAATAGTTGCTCACAGTGTACAGTCTGATTATAAATAGGGTACTGGAGATCAAGACTGTCCCGGAGAACCCAGGATGATTGGTCTTGATATTTATATTACCATTCTTTCAGGTCTTTATGACTTGTGGCATCTAACTACCTTAGTGCTGGGCCTTAGTGTTTACCAAGCAACATGCTGGTGGTGACTTGGTTTCCCATGTAGATTTTGCCATCGAAGAAGAGGGTGAATTGCACTGCAGACACTGAGTGTTTTGGTTTTCTTCCAAGTTATAGTTTTTTCTCATTGTAACTTAGTAAGTTTGCATTCTGGCTTAGTTATGAGTCTCCTCAGGGCTGGGTCCTCTAAGGGGAGTTGATAGAATTCAGTTCCTTTGTGAGCTGAGGTGCTGACATAGTATTCCTGCTGTGCCAGGAATCTCCTGCAAAGCCTTGCGATTGCCGTTGAGTGATCTCCCTGCAAAGCACTGGATGGATGTCAGCTGCCTTGTCTCCTTGATCTTTCCGTAATACTTGCAACAGGTCATCAGTCTTGTCCTGGTATTTCACCTCTAAATTGAGCTGACCAAACACCTGTTAGTATAATAAAGCGCTCTGGTGCCCACCTGCCTTCGTGTGTGTCCCAGCTCTACCTCTTAGCTGTGGGTCCTTGTGCAAGATTTTTTCCCCTAACCTCTCAGCAAAGTGTTTTTTGTTTTTGGTCAGTTTCCTCTGTCATGAAATTTCTCAACCTCATAGTGTTGTTGTGAGGCTGAAACGAAAACATGAGTAAAGTGCATATAACAGTGTTGGGCACATAGTGAGCACTCAGAATGTTAGCTGCTTCCCATTACGGTTACTGTTCTTTTACCATGAGCGCTCAGGTTCAGGGAAGACCCAGGCCTTCATTGCCAGGTCACCGCCACTTCCTATCCTCCCTGGCTTGTACTTTGGCCCGATTCCTTGTAGCTGAGAGCTGCGAGAGAGAGAGAGGCTGAGCATCTGCTCACAGGGGTGTAAGTGTCTGCAGGTGTGTGGGTGTGGGAGCCTGGAGGAAGTGCATTGAAGATGTGGAAAGACGTGAGGTGGGAAAGAGCATCGTACACCTGGGCAACTGGGAAGAAATGAAGCTGTTTTGCATGAAATGCAAAAAGAGCTATATGAATGTGTTGAGTATGATTTTCAATAAAATTGTTTTGAAGACAACATTTCTAGGGGTACTTTTTGTAGCCACTTAATAGCATTCAGTGTTGTTGAAAGGAGCACAGTGGGGAATATTGGAAAGTAACTTGTTACCTACTAAGCAGCATTTCTTCCCTGCGCCTCTCCAAACCTGTGTCCAGCTGTTTCTCTGAGACCCGTTTGCGTCTCTTTCCAGGGCATATTTATTAGTCAGGAGTTGCAAAGCTGTTTTGAAGAGCACTTCTGGCTCCTGGGGAACCTTTAGGTGGACGAGGCTGTGGTAGTTCTCTGAACATTACTCCCTGGGAAAGAGCTGAGAGGGGCCCTCCTGGTTTTTGGGTGTCGACTCTTTTTTAGGCACTGTGCCAGCTCTGGCTCTCTCATGTAATCTTTACAGAAGCCCTATGGAGGTAGGTATTATCCACCCCATTTTACAGATGAGGGAACCGGGGCTCTTAGAAGCTAACCATCTTTCCAGGGCCACACAGTTAATGGCAGGGCAGAATCAAGTGCCCTTAAGCCTCAAAAATAAAGTGAAGTTTCTATTATAGAAAGATGTGTTTTCACATACTTGCAAATCGACTGCCTGCATGCCTCTTTTTGGAAACACCTAGGCAGTCACAAAGCCCATTTCATATATATGTACATATTTTTGTGCAAGCAAAAACATTTTCAAAGGATACCTTTGAAAGAAAAGGATACGTTTTAGGAGACGTGGATTATAATTTGCTGTGTTGTTTTTGCCTGAAGTATTCTTTTTTGGATGCCAGGGTAAAAGCCTTAGGTTAATGAAGATTCCCAAATATTGGTCTAAATAGGACCTAGAAGTTTGCGTAACTGCCCTTTGAACTGAAAAGGGAGGAATAAATGCAAGATGGTCGTTTGTCCTTAAAAAAGAGTGTAGGAAGTGTCCTTGTCTGTGTGCCCTCCCAGTGTCTCAGGGACACTGCCAGGTTTTATTGTTCCCTGTGGGCTGCTTCTCCGTTCTCACTTCCATCACCCTGGTTTTCCATAAGCCTGGGAAGCCGAGACCGTCCTGCAGTCCATCCTGGAACCTCTGCGCTCCCAGCTTGTCCTCACAAGCCGTCCCTGGCTCACCTGTCGCTCCTGCTCCTGTCCCTCCGAGGGGCTTTCCTTTGTTCAGGATTTCATGTCCTCCCTTGGCTTCTTCCCCGGCCTTTCTCCTGCCTTGCCTTCTGCTGCCTCTATGAGCCATGCCAGTTACTCGTTCTCCCAGTTTGCTTTTCCTTTGTTTGTGCACTGCCTGGAGCCGCACATCCTTTCCCTCTCACAGTATGAAACCAGGGCCTCCAGCTCTTCTGCGGAAGCCCTGCACCACGGAAACCCCGAGTGGGCGCTGCTCCCCCTGAACTGCTGTGGCTCAGTTGATATTGATTTAATATTAATTTTACCCTGGTTTGGTCTCTGTTCAGTTCAGTTCAAAAAGCACAGTTCAACAGGGGAAAATGACTAACGAGATTCCATTCTTTGCTCTCAAAGGACATTAAAGGGA